CCTTCTACACGGCTGGTGAAACGCCACTCCCTGGACTGGCATTGGCCACTCAGGGCTGCAGATGTGACTCGTTCCTTGACTCGTGTGCGCCAAAGTGTTGGACGACTCCACCCGTTTTTGCCCTCAGCATCCCCCTGGCTTCTTCCCTTCTACCTCATGGCCTTTGAGGCAGTTTTTTGCAGTCACATTCACTGAACCTTTTCTGTCTTTTTTGCACCCAAAGTGACAGATGGAGAAAAACATCTAACTCACCACAGATGCGCATATCTGCAGATCAGTCTGCCATACATGGTGCATTACATTCGCAAGTATGACACAGGCAGGATTTGTCAAGATGGATTGATTGATAGTTAGGAAATGAAGAAGGAGAAACTATTTCATTTGTTGCAATTTAACGCCTCTCACCATATACAGATTGCAGACATGTCATGTCATTTCAGGCATGCATTGATTGCTGAGCTTTTCAGCTGATGTGGAAAAAATCACAAGTCTGGAGTTACACTCCACCGGTAAGGTCATTCCTCCCCTTTCCTGCTGCATCACCACACAGTGAACCACAGAAACTACAGAAGTTTAGTTTAATTATAGATTTATTTGACCTTCAATTGGCTGAACTAGAGGGTGAAAGGTAGCCATTCACTAATGCATGCAACTCTCCAAAAACAGGAACACCAAGCCCAGTTGAAACCCTTTGTGTTTGTTCCCAGCACTACAGCCTCGGAAATGTGAAACGGGTACAAAGACATGCACAAAAACAGACAATTCACTTGGCTCCTCTTTGTTTACGGTTCATCACGCGTTTCTGCCTACAGAGCAGGAAGTGTTTCCCTGGTGAACTTCCTCTCTCTATCGTACAAACCTGAAAAAACCATGCTTCAGATATTATGACAACATTAGACAGTATGTATATTTCCCTTAACCACAGTTGCTTTTCAATAAGAACACCTGGTCTAGATGGGACGTTCCTGCCAGACACTTTCTTATTAGCCAGACTTAACTGGTGTCTGTAGTACCAAACAGGCTTACCCTCGTCCTTTGGTTCTGACGAAGGTGACGTCACCTGGTCCTCTGGGTGATCCCCACTCAGCACAATCACCGGGGGGTCCAGGGTTGACGGGGGTCTGTGGAACCCCTCGCCGGTGCGAGTTTCAGGCTGTAGGGGGTGCTCGGGGAGGTCCTGCATGGAACACTCTGTGGTCTCTGCAGTCTCAGGGCAGCAGGTCATGGAAATGTCCAGCCAGGACTGGCTGTGATTGGCCAGAGGGGAGTTCTGTGATGTCACAGCAGAGACAGGGGAGGAGGCGGAGCCTCTGGTCTCATTGGGGGAGGATGTGATGGAAGGTGGAGGGAGGCTCTCCTAATGAGAACACAATCACACAGGAGTCAAAGTGAGAGAAGTGCACTGTGATATAGAGATGATAGCACGAGCACTGTGCAAAATACAGAGAGAGGCCTGTTCTCTGTGGTTTGATAGACACTGATTTGATAATGACAGCTTTTGAACTCCATAACTGCAGTTTACACATAATGTCTGGAATCAAATGTAAATATGCATCCAGAGATCTAGAAATAATGGTAAATGTTTTCTCTCGTTTGAACTTCAGTGAGACTCTGCTGCTACAGAAGACTAATTTCCTTTCAATATTATTATTTATTTATTTATTTATTTTTTAACAAATGTATGATATGCTAGTAATGTTTGACATTTGCAGGGAAACAGATCATTACGTCAGCTAAAGCTAACCAGATGCTCAGCATGTTTTCCTGTCACAGGTAGGCAGAGCAAACCTCTTAATTCCACCACTTCATCTGCATGAATAGGATGACATCATTAATGGGCAATACAAAGCCACAAACTGATCCATTCATTAAGTACCTTAAGGTTGGTTTGCATGAGAAAATACCAAGACAACTGATAGCCTGCGTTCTGACTCAACACAGCCTTTGCTCAGTAAACCCAGTGCCTCACATCTCTGAGCTGAAGGACACTTTTTTCTTTCTTGTCTTATGAGACCTACTTTTTATCATCGGATGGTAATTAGAACACAGACCCGCTAGCGGGCTATGATGTGGGTTGGTGACACACTCACAGAGGCCGTGGTCGCCTGCTCCGAATTCGAAGAAGCCTCCATCATCGACTCGGCCTCCTCGTGATCACTCGCTTCACTGTAACACTCTAGAACAACAAAACACACACACACACACACACGCATGCATGCACATGCATGCACGCACGCACACATTTAAAGGCACCAATAAAGTGAAAAATATAAAATGTAAGTAAGTCCTATTTGTTAAAAAAAAGCAGTACTGATTGGCTTGAACAAATGATTAATTAATCAAACAAACAATAAGCCAAGCAATCAATCCTCTTTGAATGACACACCTCCAGTGTTTCCATCTGTGGATGCATCCTGTGAGGAAACTTGCTCAGAGAGTTTACTCAGCCACCTGTAAAGGACGGAGGGAAGAAGGGGAAAGCTGAAAACACTGAGGAAGACCATACCCAGCGTTTAATCAGACACAGCAGTAAAATTCTCTCTTTCCCAGTATCTTCTCACAGGGCCAATAACAGCCCCAGCTCAAAGGAAAAACCAAGTCCTGCTGAACAGGTATGGCTGTATGTAAACAGCAAACTGCTTTCATTCCCAACTAACACATCCATTCCCAACCTGCCCAAGACCTCTGAACTCCCCCCCCCCCCTGCCTCCTCCCCTGCAGTGATCTCACTTGTACATCTCTTTGCTGCTCTCTGCTGCAAAGTAGAAGGTCATGATCTGGGGGTGGTGGGCCTTCATAGCACTGCAAGAGACCAGAGTTAGACCGTGAGACAGCGTTATAAGAAACAGCGGTCAGAGTGAGACAGCGTTACAGGAAATAATGGTCAGGAAGTGAGATAGGATTTCAGAAAATAATGGTCAGTGTGAGACAGGATTACAGAAAATCATGGTCAGGCAGAGAGACAGTCTGAGATGTTGAGCAAGCACAGATCCAGGGTGGGAGACAAGGCAAGACTGTACACAGTGCCTGTGCGAGGCCGAGACATTAAATCTGCAGCACAGGAAGTCAGACGCAGACGCAAAGAGCAACGGTCAGGCGTACGACAGACACCGGAGACCAGGCGCAGGGGGTGAGACTCAGGGCACACGCTGGTCAGCCTGCCTGTCTCAGTTCTGCCATGGCAGCTTATCCACATAAACCACTGCAGCCCAATCCTGACAGACTAAGAACAACACTTCCTGTGTTCTTTCAGTGCTCTTTGAATGTGACTCACACTTGAAAGACCGTGTTAAGAGAGAAACAGTTACAGCAATACATGTTCAGCTAGACGGGTTAGAAAAAGACGGTTGGTTTGTTCCTGTTTGATATTAAGGAGAATTGACAGCTCGATGCGTGCTTCACACAAGTTCACAAACCCGATGACTTCCTGTGGCAAGGAGGAAGTCTCCACACTAAGCAGCTTCACAAGATTTACTGTAAGTATTTAAGCATGAGAAAAAAACGCTGCATGTTCCTCACTGACTGATGAAGTTCAAATTTAAGGCGGTATCTTTTCTAATGTAATAAAAATGCTCACAATAATAGTATGAAAAGTCTAGTGATAAGATTGCATTATTAGAACTTTCACATTGTTAAATACTGCCATGAATGTCCAAAGTTAGACAAAAAGTTTGTTTTTGTGAACACTGTCATAATGCAGAGTATCAGAACATGCAAAACATGCTGCTTACTGCTTCCTCTTGCACTCCACCGCCTGGTCAATCTTGAATCCTGCCAGGTTAATGTAGCCTTCGGCCTTCTCAGCCTGCAGACAGTGGACACAGACACGCGCACGCACGCACGCACGCACGCACGCACGCACGCACGCACACACGCACACACACACACACACACACACCACACGCACACACACATTAATGTTTCCTCTTTGTGGCTTCATTTCACCTAACAGGGTACCTTTTAAGGCAAAGGACAGTTATTGACACAGTTTATACTTCCTAGAAAAGGATGAGAGCTTTCAGTAGTGTGCTTCAGACTTTAATTTCGTGCTAAACTCCAACTAAAATCCCTTGTAGGCTCTGCCCCCCGTTCCCCCCCACGTCATGAAGTTTTTCTTAATATACAGAAAAGCCACTGAGCCACACGCAGATGCTGTGACAGAGCCAGACACCTAGTCAGACAGCTGCAGTGAGTGCAAATGTCAACCTCCAGCCTCCAACCTCCAGCTAATATAGCCTTACTGGCAGACTGACCGCCTGACTCACCGTCTGACTGGTGTACCAGTACAGGGACGCCTTCTTCAGCATGAACCAGTACTTCTTCCACTTGATCCCCAGAAAGGCCTTGCCCTCCTTCTTCTTGTAGAGCCAGCCCTGGCAATCCGGCTGGCCCAGCTCCTTCACTGACACCCTCCGCCGGCTCATCCTCTCATGGCCTGTGAACAAAACGTCTCCCTCAGTGCTCTCTCTCTCTCTCTCTCTCTCTCTCTCTCTCTCTCTCAGTGCTCCCTCTCTCTCTCCCTAACCCTAGGCCCATCGCCGTCCTCTGACACCTCTACTTTCTGCTCGTTTGATCAGAGCTTTAAATTGATCATTTTTGTTTTCCTGGAAAAAGCCACTACGTGACTGAAAACACAGCCGGGGGTAAGCATTTTGGTCAGACGTGCCAGGCGTTTATAGACTGGCCCTGTAAGTGGCATTGGCTCAAGGCGTGTGAGTAATTTCACAGCGGAAAGTCACATGTGGCTTTTCACCACTGATATGGCAAAACCCACGGAGCCCAATAATAAAACATTAACCATAATCCCAGCCTGATCATTTCAGTATCAAGCCACCTTTCTGTCTGATGTAAAGTGAGTGTTTATGACACATCATAATTACATTACATTACATTATTGTCATATAGCAGACCATCTTATCCAAAGCAACTTACACTTTTATCCATTTATGCAGCTGGATAGCAACTGGGGCTTAAGTTCCTCGCCCAAGGGTCCAACAGCAGTGCCCCAGCAGGGAGTCGAACCAGCGACCTTCTGGTTATGAGCCATGCTCTTTACCGCTACAGTACACTGCACTGCTGCCCAGTCATGTTAAACAAACAAAAGACCAAACCATAGTATAAGACTGAGACCAGGACCAAATGAAATGAAAAGGACCAAGGCTGCACTTGTTGATCTCGAGGCCCAGCACACACACGATGGTGGCTGAAAACCACAAGCAGGTGTGCTGCAGGTGTTCCTGACACACTACAAAACACCGTGCGACTCCGGCTGCTGCTGCATTGGTGTACTCAGAGCTGACACACCGAGCTTTGAAATCGGGGGATTCGTAGTGTGTGCCACCATCTCAGTGCCACTCTAAGCCATACGGCAATTCCCACTGGCCAGAGGAGCTGCCCAATAAGCAGGACTCCTCCAGGACTGCTCCAGGACTCCTTGAGGACCCCTTGAGGACCCCTTGAGGACCCCTCCAGGACTCCTCCAGGACTCCTCCAGGACTCCTTGAGGACCCATTGAGGACTCCTTCAGGACCCCTCCAGGACTCCTTGAGGACCCCTTCAGGACTCCTTGATGACTCCTCCAGGACTCCTCCAGGACCCCTCCAGGACCCCTTCAGGACAGGTAAACTCACAGACCACCTCCAGCAGCCCACTCGGCTGTGCCTCTCCCCTCGGCTCGTCTCAGCTGAGTGACGTGGTGAGCATCTGCAGATGGTCTAAAAAAAACCCCTCATCCTCTCACCAAAGCTTGATAAGTTCCTCATTCTCCGCTTGCTCTGTTTGCCGTGGTTTTGGCTTGATGGCTGCTTTTTTTTTCACCATCTCTTGCTGTGTCTCTACAGGAGGCAGCTTACAGAAATCTTCTTCTTTGGCACATTACATGACAGGTTGATTATTTTTCACTAATGACCAATGAAGCCCAGCATCGAGGGTGTGGCTCCCAGGTGCTCACAGGAGCAGTGACCCGGTGTGTTATTACCTGCATGTTATTACCTGTTCCGCTACTTGATCGTAGGTTTTAAGCTGATGTACAACTCCTGTAGGCACATGCTGGCTTTCAGAATTAATCACTGAGCTACTGTAAAACAGGGCTAAAATCATGCTGGGTGTAAAATCCCTGAAGCCAAAATTAAGAGCAAGTCAAACTCTAAATGTCAAGTCATCTGTGACAGATGGATAAAATGACCTGCTTTAATCTCCCATATGTACCAACCTCGGCACTGTCAAGTGATGTACTGAGTAATAGTACTGATACTGGCATATCAAAAGATTATTTTTCACAATGCTGTACTTATGCAACATTACTACTTTTGATAGCAACTACTGCAGGTATACTTTGCAAAATGCAAAATACAAATGAATCATTCACTACCTAATTCTACACTACATTTGACATAAAACTAGCGACATCAACACTGATAGTTTACATGAATATTCACACTTGAAGTTTGCCAGCGGGAGGTAGGACAGCTGACATCTCCATTAACTACCTGTACAAATTCCAAATTTTATTTAGTGACATCGGACAACCTCATGTCAAGAATATAACGTTTAATGTATCAGGCACCTATTGATCTAACCGAAATCACCTTAATTGTAGCTCCACAAAACTACAAAAACAACAGCATTCAATCACACTGAAAAAGTCCTATAACTTACCTCAGTGTCAGATTTGTGCCCTGAAAATAGTCAGTTAGCTCAGGAAAAACACACAGAATGGGTCAGGACCTCATCAGGTAGAGAAGCCTGCACGCAGAAGGCTAGAGAGACTGCTCTCTCTGTGCATCACATGGGGCTGTTTGCAGACTCCCACAGCCTCTAATCAGAGCTTCTCTTCGCATGCACTGACATCTCGGGGCTAAAATTATAGTTGTGAGAGGAGCCGCAGTCAGCTGCACGCCACCCGCCCGGGGGAGAGGAAGAGAAAGCCGCCCGCCTTACCCCGAGGTCTCCTCTTGGACTTCCGTCTGAAGGACACCTTCAGCGAGAGAGAAGAGATTTGAAACTGCCAGGTCTAAGAGGAGAGGGTGTCGTAGTCTCAGGATGGCAAAGCTGCCGCCGCCACCACACTCTGCTCAGACTGACAGCTGCCGGAGTTAAAACACACAGCCCTGCCCCCACACCACCAAGCATCGATTGACTGGAACATCCTGTTTCTCACCACATCTCTCCCCCAGCAGATCTCCTCTGCATGCGACAGTTTATCTCTCACCCTCATTTTAACACTCCCCCCTCCCTCTCTCCCCCTCTCTGTCTCTCTCTCCCCCTCTCTGTCTCTCTCTCCCCCTCTCTCTCTCTCTCTCTCTCTCTCTCTCTCTCTCTCTCTCTCTCTCTCTCTCTGTCTCTCCCCCCTCTCTCTCCCCCTCTCTCTCTCTCCCCCTCTCTCTCTCTCTCTCTCTCCCCCTCTCTCTCTCTCTCTCTCTCTCTCCCTCTCTCTCTCTCTCTCTCCCCCTCTCTCTCCCCCTCTCTCTCTCTCTCTCTCTCCCCCCTCTCTCTCTCTCTCCCCCTCTCTCTCTCTGTCTCGCTCTCTGTCTTTCTGTAGAGCAGTTAATTAGCAGGAGCAGCAGCAACAACCCAACCTGGCTCATCCTTCCTACAGATTATGAAACTTTTTGACCAGGGCTTCAGTCTCAGTTTATGTCATTTTCCTTAGGGAGCTATGACAAATGTGAGGGTTAAACAACAACTTCAGCGCAAACATTAATGCCGAGACTGCATTCTCACACAGATGGTGACACTGCACTTGTGGGGGGAGTGGCGGAGTCTTCCCTTTGGGGTTTACAAATATCAGTGAGGTACGTTTACTCATGAAACAAACTTTCATTAACTTGTGCACATCCCCACACTTTGCCAATTAGTGTGGTAGTCACTGTTTGATCATTTTAGATAATGTAAAAAATGTATCTTGGCTGTAAGAAAGAAGAATGTGCTATAACACATGTTATTTCAGTAATACATGCAGCCATAGTTAAAGGAGCTCTGCTGTAACAGGTCTTCAGGAAACAAATGCAGTTTGTAAAATGTTACAAACCCTCCTGTCAAAACATATCAGACAAATGCAGCTCACATATCCAAAGATAAGGGAAGTTTAAACGATCTGCTTCATGAGCACTGAAACACTGACCACATCGTTAGCCTCACTGACATGCGACCTATGAGATTAAATTTAAATTCATTTTTGAAGGTCTTTTATAGCAACATTTTAAAGTGTGCAAAACCTGCTTATTAAATGATTCAATATCCTCAGTGCAGCTGTGCCATTTTGTGAAATTTGGAAACCAAAAAAGGAAAACCATCAGAAACCAGCTGTCGCACAAATTTGCACAATCACGTCATTTTAGAAAAAATCCCCAGCCTGTTCTGCAAGGAGGAGCCACGTATACTTACAGAGTAATACTGATCAGCTGCCACTGGGGGCACCAGAGAGGCAGGGAGAACAGCCTGAGAAGACACAGGAACCACAGGTCATGAATGCACTGCCCAAGTGAGGCTTCACGCTTCATTCAGCCCACTAACAGGACCTTGGAAATCCATCCCTCGGTTTCAGCCTCCCAAACCTTTCACTTATTTGCAAGAATAGTTCATTATATGACTATAACAAAGTCCATAACAAACATCTTCATGACTACTCTACTTTTTCTGAGAAAAGAAAAGAAAAAGAAAAAGAAAAAAATTCATCAAGATAAGGCTGAGACTGGCTGCAATGCGGAAGGAAATGATATCAAATCAACGGGATGTTAGAGATGCAGCAGCAGAGATATTAGAAACCAGGGCCTCATATTATCTGATAAAACTAACTTTCTTTAGATGTCAGCACATTAAATCTACATTCCAACATGAGGGTTAGCTTCAAACAAGCCAAGGGCTACTCTATGAAAAACAACAATGGACCAGCAAATGTGGCTGTTAAAAGCACCAAGAATTCATAATGGCTCCTATACACTGTGTGGGCTTGGTGCACCCAACTCAAGATTGCGGTTCATTTTCTGAGATGTATTTACTTTTCCTTAAAAGTTACAGATTTATTTGAGATTTTAACAGTCTGCAATCTCATGAGTGAAATTTCACCAGCAGACACCTCCCAGCAAACAGCACACATTTTTGGTTGCCTTCACTCAGAGACTTCCTGACTGTTAAAGCTTGTGGTGTTCTGATGATGTACTTGGTTTGATGGAAATAATGACTTTCATCTTTCAAGCACATCTAAGTGTGGGTGTGACATGCCTAATCTTAGACAATACTGTCACATATTGTATGTGTTCAATGTTGAAATACATAAACCACATTTTTAGCATGATGTAGCAAATTTTTGTTTTCACATTTGTGCCTGTCACATCACATAATTACACCTGATGGAGCTGATCTTTAAATAAAACCAGAGGGCAGACAGACTGAAGGCCAACATGACAAGCTGCTGCCTGAAACCATTTGCACAAATGAAGCCACTTACAGTATAATTTGAAAAATGATAACCAGGGAGACCATACTTTACCAGGGTCCAGTTTTTTGTGTTTTGAATGTTATTAATAGAATGTGTGCCATTTTTGGACATTTATGTTTTGGCTCCAGATTGGATCTGACCGCCATAGTTCTCTTGACATCGACTTCCTATGTAGCAGTTCTACATTTCCCTACAATTCTATACAGATTCTACAAATTTCCCATGCGACCCAAGCCGCACTGGTGTCGAAACCACACAGGCGCAGGGTTGGTTAGCGATGAACGCTTCCACGGAGCATCGCAAGTTTTAAAACCCGTGTGGTCAGGCGCCCCTGAGACGTGCCGGGCGGTGCGGTCATCCAGAGCGTACCTGTTTTCAACCTATGCAGCGTATTTTTAAAATCTTAATAGTGAACACAATACTATAAAGTATCCTATTCCGGATTTTGCAAGTAATAAATTATGTTTACAGACAAACGTGTCTATTTTAAACCGTACGATTCACGAGGAAAACACATTCTGGTGTAAAATCTAACTTCAGAAAATACCATTTTATAAAATCTAACTTAAGGAAATACTGTCTTATTTCAACAAATGGTTACACGTATACGAACTAGTAGGACAACCAGAAACCA